TGGCATTAAAATTTAATATGGCATATTAATTTTCAATAAAAATTTTTACACTTCATTTATAAAAAATTGAAGAGTATAAAGGTAAAAGTTCTATCTTTCAATGTGTCAATCACAATGTTAAGACACTTGAATGCTATTCCTCAGTGTTGAGGATTTTTCCTTATGGATCATGGAAAGCTTAAATATTTGATCAACATTAGGGAACATGAAAAAAACAGTTCTTCACAGATTTTATGGCCTGTATCCTGTTGAATTTTAAAGAGCAAGTGTACATAATGCTCTTAAAATGGTAGTGTTAAAATAGTAATGTACAAAATACACTTAGGGTGTCCACTCAAAATTTAAAAAAACTCCAGCACTTATTACTTCATTTAGATATGTTTTTACAGAATTTTGGTCTTAAAACCCTTATCTTTTTCTAGCATCAGTATTAAAAAAGCATTTTCATTCCAGGACTAATAATATTACTAAAGTAATGTAATACATAAAGTATGTTATAAACATACTTTTATAAGTAACTGTACTTATAAACATAAAAGTATGTAACCTAAAACTACACCTAAAACTACATCATTTTGTGTTCTACAACTTAATCGAAAAAAACATAATAAATAACTCAACATTATTGAGAATTATATATTCAGAAAAAAGAACAACAAAAACAATGACTTCCATAACACACTTTTTTTAATTTAACAAATTTCAGAATTACTAAAAAAAAATTAAACTTGACGAAACTCTGAAGCTTCAGTCATAACAATGACTGAAGCACAAATTTAAGCAACTGACTTTAAAAAGGCTAAAAAACAAAAACAAAATAATAACAACTAACAAATAACCATTTAAAATCAAGAACAACTTGTAGGCTTACCAAGTTTCTAAATATTATATCTAAAAAAAAATTTATGGAAGGCACAACCCATTTAAGGCATTTTTTTCATCTCAGTTAAGATTAATAAACTGCAAAATTTTGCAATTAATCACAAAATCAAAAAACTTTAAAGCAGAAGCGTGGGGTCAAATTAAAAAAAAAGAACTGACTCCAACTCCAATTGTTGAAATTTTCAGAATACAACTCCTACTCAGACTTAAATCTCCAAAGCAAAATTTTTGAAAAATTCTTTGAATTCTTTAAAAAATATTACATGATAATTAAATAAAAAATATTTTTGCCAAATATATGAAAAGTTTTTTGAAGGTTAAATATTTTGTACATGCACATGCAATAGCAAAAAACTTTACTATTGGAGTTGGAGTCGTGATTTTGCTTAGCGACTCCCACTCCGCTAAAATGTCGTGACTCCATGACTCTGACTCCACAGCCTTGTTGATAATAACAATAAGATATACTGTAATAAAATAACAAAGTCATTTGTTAATAAAAACTAAGTTGAAAAAATTTTTTTTTCTTATTTTAAAGTTCTACAATTTGTTTTTCTATAAACTCAACCTCTTGTTTAGTTTCAAAACTTTTTCTTTTTAATCCATTCCCTTTCTTAAAGTAACTCAGGTAATTTTTTATTCTGCAAGTTCCATACACTCTGTAATCTTGTTTTCCATCATTAAAATAGCTTTTTTTGCAATCTTGACATTTTAATTTCATTTTTTGATGTTGGCTGTGATATACATCGCTTTTTGTTCTTGCTCTGGTTTCTGTTTCTTCTTTTTAGCGATATCTAACTCAATTATATATTGAACAAAATTTGATGAACAAAAAACTTTGACCAATGGTGCTGTGATTTAAATCATTGGCAATTAGATGGTCCTTTACAATTCTCCAGGAGATAATACTTAAAGATTTTATGTTTGTTTATGCTATAACCTCTATGTTGCAACCTTTATGTATGTTTATGCTACAACCTCTATATGCTCAAATGCAGCCTGGCCATGACTAAGTGTTAAAATTAATTAAATGAAAAAAGACAATTCGATGTAATTGCTGACTCAAGCACATTGAAAATAAAAATCATCAAGACGATCCTTTGTATGAATAAACTTAAAAAATTCTTGCTTTATGGCTTTGACTTCATTACCCATAAAACCTTTAAACTGAGATTGGATAAAAAAAACCAGTCATATTGCTGCAGTGATAAAATCCTTAAACAAACAATTATTTATAACAAAGATTATTTTGTCAAAAAAAGATCTTTCAACATTTTCCAGCTTTTTTTAAGGACATCTGGATAAACAATAACTTTAAGCAACTTTATTTTTATCTCCTTTAAATCAAAGTTTAAAAATGGAACCATTGGACAGCCTGTCTGTTATTTGTTCAGAAAAGGTTCAACTATACTTGCAATATAAGCAAAAAAATGTAACTTGGAAAGTATTAAGTGTTCTTAAAGTGTGTTTTTTAATGTCTTATAGCTTTTACATTTTGGTTGTTTGGATTTAGGTAATTTAGGTAACTTTTCCACACTTTGATCAACCTGTTAACCACGTATTTCTTTTCAACTTATCTAAAATATAAATCAAATACCATTTAGAAACATCATACCTAGTCATATTATTATTATTATTATTATTATTATTATTATTATTAAGGTTTACAAATTGGATTTGTATAGGCATGAAATGCCTGTCAACCTGTCTTATGGTTACTATATAAATATACTAATCATAAATTGTTTTTTCTTCTTTTAGATAATTGTCGAGTTTGTTTTTAAAATTGCTCACGGAAGTAGCATTTACAATGTCATCTGGGAGGGAGTTCCATTTGTTGATTACTCGTAAGGTGAAAAAGTATTGACGAGAAGCTAGACGAGAATAAGGTTTTTCTAGTTTAAATGAATGTCCTCTTGTAATAGAATTTATAATTGTTTTTAAAAAGATCGTTTGAAAGTTGTAGTAGTTGTTTAGCCATTTATAGAAGTTTATTAAATCTCCCCGGATTAGTCTGTATCTTATGGTTGTCATATTAATTTTTAATAGTCTTTGGTGATATGTTAGACTTTTTAATCCATGAACTGATTTAGATGCTCTTCAGAGTATATTTTCAACTTGTCGTTTGTCTTTCAGTAGACGAGGGTTATATACAGAACCACAGTATTCTAAATATGGTCGTACTAGTGCTGAAAACAGTCTTTTAAAACAAAATGAATTTAGATAAGAGAAAGATCTTTTTATTAGAAATAGCATCTGCATTGCCCTATTAACTTGAGTAGAGGTATGTTTAGAAAATAGCAAGTTATTATCGATATGTACTCCGAGGTCAGTTTCTGAGTTGGTAGATTTGATATCAATCCTTGTTTTCTTCACTGGATCGTACATAGAATAGACAAGATGTTTATTTTTATGACCTAGGTGTAAAACTGAACATTTTTCTATATTAAATTTCATCCCCCATTTAGTTACCCAGTCAACCAAGATATCAATATCATTTTGAAGTACGGTGTGTGAATGCAAATCAGTAATAGGGTAAAATATTTTTGTATCGTCAGCAAAAAGTGCTGCATTTGAAGTAATTATATTGGGAATATCGTTAACGTATATAATGAATAATAGAGCTGAGAGAACAGAACCTTGGGGAACTCCACTTTTTACTGATACCCAATCAGAGTAATTACCATTTATCATTACTCTTTGTCTTCGATTTGTGAGAAAGTTTCTTATCCAAGAGAGAATTGGACCATTAATCCTATAGGCTTTTAGTTTCAAAAGAAGATAGTCATGTGGGACTTTGTCAAATGCTTTTTCAAAGTCAAGGTAAATATTATCGACGGGAAGACCTTTATCTAAATTAAGTGTCCATGTATTGATTACAGTAAGAAGATTTGTTTCACAAGAGCGCCCTGGATAAAAACCGTGTTGACTAGGAGTTAGTAGATTATTTTTTAAAAGATGAATAAAAATATGTTTTTGTATTATTTTTTCAAATATTTTGACTATAGTGCATGTTAAACTAATGGGTCTATAGTTGGTAACTAGTTTCTTGTCTCCTTTTTTGAAAATTGGAATGATATTTGCATCTTTCCAGATTTGTGGTAATGTACTAGTTTGAAGTACCTTAGTATAAATAATAGAAAGATGTTTAGAGATTTGGTGATGGGTTTCTTTTAATATTTTGGGATGTATCTCATCTGGACCTGGTGATTTAAATGACTTTAAAGACAGAAGATTAGATGCAATGTTTTCAGGAGATAGATCAAGATCATTAGAGATTTGACTGGGACAAACAGAAGATAAGTTAAAACTTGGAACAATCAATGTATCATTATCAGAAAAATTACTAGCAAAGTAATTATTGAAGCATTGAGCCTTTTCAAGATCGATGGTAGCAACTATCTTATTGTGGACTATTATTTCAGGAATGAGATTTTTTATAAGATTTTTTGATTTTATGTATGAAAAAAAAGCTTTAGGATTTTTGTTGATGTTTTTAGCAATTTCTTTTTCAAAATTTATTATAGCATTTCTGCAAGCTGCTTTAGTTCTGTTACGCGTTCGACAATAGTCAAAGTAAGTTTTACCATTCCGTTTATGAATGTAGTCTTGATATTCAATTTGTTTATTTCTTATTTCTTCTGCTACTTGGGCGGTTATCCATTGAGAACGCTTTTTAGGTTTTGTTGAGGATTTTGGAACATTTTTTTTAATAGTGTTTTTAAGGTTTGTGTAGAATATATCCCAAAGTTGTTCTGAATTATAGTTTTGATTTAACGCTAAGGTTGATAGATCTTTATTAATTTTATTATAGTTTCCTTTAGAGAATAATTGCTTATTAGTAGTATGAGTTGGTTTATCTATTGGATCGGTTAGTACGGTAAAGTATAAAAGGTGTTGATGACTTTTTCCAATTGGAGCAAGGTGAAATTATTGGTGAAATTATATTTTCCACGGATGTTATTATAAGATCGATAGTAGTTGGTTTTTGATTCTTTCTGAAGTGGGTTGGTTTAGATATATGTTGTGTGAGGAAACAATTGCAGATTGAATATATGAATTTTAAAGATTTTGATGAGTGAGATATCGGGTTTTCTTTTTTGTTAGACCAAGTTATATCTGGGTAGTTAAAGTCTCCAACAATAAGGATGTTTTCGTATTTTTCAGAAAGATTAGTTATGTGTTGATTTATATAGTTATCATTTTCCTCATTGCTATTTGGAGATCTGTAGAATGTTGTTATTAGTAGCTTAGAATTTTTTGTTTGAATTTCACAACTAATTGGTTTTCTTGTCAATACTTTTGTATTAGTCAGCAAGTCAGATGTTTCACAGCGAATGTAGTCTGTCTTACTATAATTGCCAGTAACTAAATGTCATGTAAAAACTTTATTGTTATAAGCATATGAACTTTTTTTTTGAATGGAGCTAGTACAGTAGAAGTAGTTACCTTGTTGAGCAGAAGTTAAGAGGATAGACAAAAGAACCAGTAACAGAGTTATAGACTTTTCTCCTGGCAGGACTACCATGAAAAGTATAATAAACAGCATTTAAAACTTTTTTCAGATTCTATTCAGTGACAGCCTCTCCAGTTTTTAAACTGCCATGGGCAGTTTAAAAACTGGAGAGGTATGTTTTTTAAAAACAGCCTTTTTTCCAGTTTTTCCAGCAGAGCGGACACCCTGACCTAGTGTTCATTTTGAGCAACAACGAGTTAAAATTTATCAAAATTTAAACAGCATTTATCAGTTTTATAAATTGTCTAAAATATATAGATCAATTTTCAATTTTTAGACAAGAGTCTAGACAAGAGTCTTACAGGAAAGAAGTTTCCTGTAAGAAAAATGATAAGTTTTTGTAAAATACTAAAATCCAAGAAATTCAAGAGACTTTTAAATAGACTAATTTTTAGAAAACTAACATTCGATTATATGTAGGTATAATATGCAGAGAAAAATAAATTTTTAAAAATGTGGTTTTTCTGAAACACCCATATTACAAACAAGTTACAGTATACAGCAAAAACTACATATTTAGAACAAGTTTATTCTTCTTCTCGGCCTTGAGGAGGTGAATTAAATTAAAAAAAAAAAAATTTAGAACAAGTTTATTCAACAATATAAATAAAATTAAAATCAGTTTTTATAAATATTTTTAACTTTTATTAACAATAAAATTTTTGCATAACCAAATGATACTTACGGTTGTATATTTAATCTTTCAATTTTTAAATAAACTTCCTCATTTGTTCTTTGAATAAACTTTATGCAAGTTTGACTTTGAATATGTGACATTGCTTGACTGACAATAAGTGTCTCATTTTCAGCTAAAATTTACAAATTTACATTTTAATGACATTTTAATTTTAAACATTTACAAATTAATTTTTGTTGAGATGTTATAAAATATGTCTGTGTATACTAAAAATTTAAGGCTAAGATGTATACTAAAAATTTAAGGCTAAAATTTAAGATGGCTTTTTTTTTTTTTTAATTTTCTTATAAACATTAAAGTGTGTTTATTACTAAACACCAAGAGTTTGAAAAACTTAAAAACTCTCAAAAGATCAGGATAAATATTCAATAAAAACTGAATAAAATTCTTTCCAAATCTTTTTTAAACTCAGAAACTATAACAAAATAGACATGTATTAAATACAAACATAAATTGTTATAAAATGAACAATAATTTAAATAGAATTGTATTTAAATAGAATTATATTTAATACAATAATTTAAATTGTATTTAATATAAACATAAATTGTTATAAAATGAACAATAATTTAAAAATTACAAATAAATGGTTAATAAACATTTTCACTTTAGAAACTTATAACCCCCTAAAAGGCAAACTATGTATGTTCCTAGGGCATAATTTGAAATTTCATTAGTTTAAATTATGCAGGCACAAAGATCCACATTAGTGGATTATAATCAAATGAAATTTTTTTTATTACTAATGAGATAAATTACTATAAATACTATAAAAAGTATAAAAATATACTATAAAGGTATAAAACTGTGGTGGTGTCTGTACCAAGTATTCAAGAAAATGCAAAATAGTATCTTTCTTGCAAATTAAACTATGTGTATGAGTAAACTTTATAATGTGAGTGGTACACCACCAGGTGAACACCAAGCAAAGTGTACACCACCAGGTGTACACCAAGCAAAGTGTACACCACCAGGTGTACACTTTGCTTGGTATGTCAATTAATAGATATAGATAACGTTTGAAGCCTGATGTAATTTGAGGAAATGAAAAGTGAAGTAGAAAGCTTAGTAGGAAGTAGGAAATATGAAGCTGAGCCTAGGTTAATATGGATCTTTGTACAATTGATAGAATCAATTTTCTAATTTAAAAAATTGAGAGGGAAACTGTTCTTCCGCTTAAATTACTGAAAACAAACATATCATGGAAAGTTAACAACTATAACAATTACTCAATTAAAAACTAATTAACAATGTTTGAAACACTATGTAATCTAACAGATATATGGTTGATAAAGTTTTTTATTGATTGTTCTTTAGCAGATACATAATATATAAAGATATATAATTTTAGTTTTGTAAAATAGTTTTTTCTTATCAAAAGTAAAACACTAAATATATTACTTAAATATAAAATAAAAATAAATAATTATAAACATAACATTAAATATAACACAAATAACATTTTTTATTTCATCAGGCTTTGTATATATAGGTATTTTTTAGATTGACATAAGTATTTCAATGAACAAAGAATTTTTATGTGTTTTTATTGATAATTAACCTAATTTTTTAAGACAGTTTTAAGAAAATAAAACTAATTACCATTTACACTTTTGTTTTTTATTAACAAACACTTTTTAATTGATGTGTTTATAAAGATATAAGAATATATATATATCACAGTTAATAAAAATTGCATCAGAGATCAATTTTGAAAAAAATCTGGATATCGTAGACTTTGACAACTTTTGAATGAATTTCTTAAACAAACTGAGAATATTCTATAAGTATTTTTATTTCTGACCAACTAAGAAGATTTTATAAAGGTTTTTATTTCTGACCAACTGAGAAGACTCTATAAGGTTTTTATTTCTAACCAACTGAATTTTTCTAAAATGTACATTTATTATAAGCAAATTGCCAGATCTTTTTTTAAATAATATAGAAATAAAACAGGAAGACTCTATATGGTTTTTAGGAATACTTGTTTACAAATATTTATCTTAGCTCTAAAATATTAAATATTTACAATAAAAAGTTAGCAAAATTATTAGTCTAATGTAACAAGAACATCATTATGTAAATACACTTTGTGTAAAACTAATATACTTCTCTTTAATACATTGTTTTATCAAGAAAAAATAAGAGAAGCATATTAAACCCTTAAAGAAAGACATGAAAATGTTGAATGTTTATGAAATAAATATTTATCAACACTTGGTTTTCATGTATAAATAAATAACCTCATGATGTGATGTACCGATTGAACATTTGTGGCCGATGCAGATACCAATGCAGATGGATAGAAAAAAGTCAATACCGATGCCAATACCGATGGATTAATTATTAAAATTTTTGAAAAGATAAAAATATCTTTTTCATAGAACCAGAACTGGTAAACAAATACTTGGACCCAAATTAGAGCCAAACCTTCATTTTAAAGATATTAGTAAAACTCAGATAAAATAATATATATCTTTTTTTTTTTTAACAAAAATTTTTAATGAAAAGAAAACTTTCAAAAAATAATTACATTTTTAGAGGAACACTTTTGAAGTTGAAGAGACTTTAAAATCAAATATCAAGAAAAAAATAACTTTAAAATTTTAAAAAAAGCGCCAATAGTAGTTGTAACAATGTTTAGTACTTAAAATTGTGTATACAAATATTTTAATGTAAAAGTATAAGCATTTCTCCTGTTTCCTCCTGAAGTACATTCGACTATTAAATTAAAGCTTATAAATATCATCTTAAGAATTAAAAAATATTCCTGTAAACAAAATTAAAATAAACAATTTCTCAAAAAAATTATAAGTAATGCATATAGTTTAGTTTATTTATTATTTAATGTTTTTATTATTTATTTTATTATTTATCATTTATCATTTACTATCTTAAAAAAACTGTATAAAATAATTATATTCATTCAAAACCATGTTGTAATTTCAAGCTCATGCAACTGTAAAAAAAATAGCAAAACCATGAAAAATGTTTTCATACTATTTTTACTTGAATTGCTTTTCTAATATATATCTGCCAAATTAATAAGTTTTAGCAGTTCCTAAGGTTTTTAAGTAAATTGAGTGTCAATTAAAAAAACTGTAAATTAAACGATGAGGTGGGACCATTTCCAAGTGGGATGATCTTTAACTGCACAAGGTGTCTTACCATATAAAACATGCATTAATAAATGATCTTTAACTGCACAAGGTGTCTTACCATATAAAACATGCATTAATAAATGTTTGGACTTACTAAAACACAAATAATAATATTATTAAGAGTATCTCTCATACTATAAAAGAACTTTAAAAATCAATTTATCAAAAATAAATATTTTAAATAAATGAAACAATTAGAATATGAATATTTTAAGTAAACGAAAAACAGCATTAACTGATTTTATGGTTACTATTATACCTGTAACTCAAATAATAAACAATAATAATAAACATATAAACAATAATGTAGTAGTGGTGTACTTGCTTTGTAAGTAAGCACTATAAATTTAAATGCCACCATGTTCCTTGTAATACAGTGCATTTTTTTTTTTTTTTTTTACATCGCAGTTAGATTTGTTGTAACAATTATTTAAACTCACTATTATTAAAAACTGTCACTAATTATTAAAATTGCCAATTAGAAATTATTTTATTTAAACAACTTAGTTAATTTATTAAAACTTAGTATATATAGAAACTAAGTATATAAACTTATATATATAACAATTAAAGATACACATTTTGTGCATATAAGAGGTTTTTAATAAATTATTTTCATTAAATTTTTCTTAGTTAGATTGACCATCTTCCCAGCTTTTACATTAGAAAATGCCGAGTTAGACATAATAAAAGTTAAAAAATTTTATATTTCAACATTAACCACAAAAAGAAAATGATATTAGCTATTGTAGCCCATATAAGATTATTTTCTTATATAGTGAATCCTTAAAACAGGACATTATCACTGTATTCAGTATGAAAGTAAAATAACTTCATAAAAATCTTTTGTATTAAACAGACTTTAGAGATGATTCCAAAAAAACTGTAAATCTGTGGAAACAGTAAGAAATAACAGTTCTATTTTTTTTGAAATTTTTTTAAAACTTGCACAAAAAACTTACTCATGTTACGAAAGTTCCCTGGAATAAATTGAAATGGTACAATCCCACCAGGCCATTTGCTTGATTGATATTTAAGAGCTGAACGCTTTTGCCGATTCAAGTAATTCTTAAAGGAACTATCATTTTCTGCTGATATTTCAACTGAGTAAAAAAAAAATAGAACATTAATGAATATTAAGAATAGCAAACAATTATATAATAATGGTTATATATATATATATATATATATATATATATATATATATATATATATATATATATATATATATATATATATATATATATATATACATATATATATATATATATATATATATGTATATGTATATATATACATGTATATATATATATATATATATATATATATATGTATATATATATATATATATATACATATATATACATATATATATATATATATATATATATATATATATATATATATATATATATATATATATATATATATGTATATATATATATATATATATATATATATATATATATATATATATATATATATATTAACAACTCTTTGTTTTTAAAAATGACAAAATCAATTATAGATTATGAAAAAACCATTAAATAGTTGAGGAAATCAAATTAATAATTATTATAATTAATAAAATTATAATAATTAATTTGATTTAATATCTGAAAATTTGGAATGTTTTTGATTTTGCAAAAACATTAAAATTATTTATAAATTTGAAAGTTTTAGAAGATTTGCTTTATTACTGAACTATTCTCAGTGCAATTACATAGCAACACATAATTTTTTTTTTTTTTATAATTCAGAAACACTTCTAAAGCTTCATCTTTGATAAATTTTAGCATAAGACATGCAGTTAGAAAGTATTTTTTTTAAAAAACTAGTCTTATTCAAAATTAAATTCTTTAATCTTTTTTTTTTTTTTTTTTTCTTCTTTTTTTTCATGATTATTTGTATGAAGCAGAATTTACGTTTGGAAATGTGATAAAATATTTTATTTGGAAAATGTTTATCTTAGCGAAGCCATGGCAACCACAAGCACTTTTATCGTTTGTATTAAGTTGAGTAAAACTTGCAAGCAATTTGTCTATTTGCTTTGTTCACTATGCTTACTAGTTTGTCTACTTTTCTTACTAGTTATTAGTTATTTACCTTGCTTTTACATTGAAGAATTTAGGCGTTTTGTTGATGCCCTTATTCATGTTCTTTGTTGTATTATAATCTTTTGTTATGATGACGTAGATAGTAAAAACTCGTAAATGACAATTGTTGTAAGTATTTTATGAAAGATTTAATAATAATTGGTAATAAATTATTATATCTATCAAAAATTATAAACAATAAAGAAAACGAATTTAAAAAAAACAAGTAAACAAAACTTTATAGTACAACATTTTTTTATACAAGAAAATATTACACAATTGAGAATAAATTTAGCAGAAATATTACAAAGGAAACTAAAGACTACTAATAAGTTAAAAAAAAAAAAAAAAAAAAAAAAAAAAAAAAAAAAAACTAAAAAACAATTTTAAAAATAGGCTTCAATTTAATTCTAAATGCAAAAAATAACAACCTAAGTTTCAATTTTATCGTGACGTTGCTGTTTAAACGTTCTTTTTTTTTATTTTGTAATAAAGTTTGTATTTTTGCAAGTTGAGTTTTTTTTTTTTAATCAAAATTTCAAAACATTATTTTTTTTTTTTATAATTGCAGTCCCTAAGGATAAGGAGAGGGCGTAGGCGGTGTCTACCCCCCTTCCCCTCAATAAAAAAAATGAAAAAAAAAAAAAAAAAAAAAAAAAAATTAACTGTAGTCAGCAGTAAGCTAATTTTAGTAAACGATCGTTACTGATATTTGCAGTTTGACTAAAAAAGGAATCGTCCCTGATTTTAACTTATTTAAAAAAACGTTCATATCTTATTTATTTACATTTGAAAAAGCAAATTAAAAATCTAATTTTCATATCGAGTAAGATAATCTCATCAACATATATGCAAATGTTAGTTCATGGTTCTTAAGCCCAACTCACAATAACGTGTTTTGAAAACACAAAAATTAATTGTCTTTTTACACTGTTTTTTTCTATTTTAGGTTTTTGGGAAAGTTTTTCAAGAAAATTTTTTTTGCAATATCAGAACACGCATCCACTGTCCATCTAGCCTGTGAGAGGCCTTTTAGAACTTTTGGACTATTTGGAACCACAGACCCGCAGGAACAAAAATTATATTGGGGAGACAATACTAATGGCTAGGTCATATAGTAGTAGGTAAAAAATAAGAAAACCATATTTTCTTATTTTTTACTAATAAAAGAAGAACTAATTCGTTATCCATATTTTCGGCGTAAGAAACTTACGCCGAAAATATGGATAACGAATTAGTTCTTTTCTATCCTTTTTTTTTTCTTCTATATCTTAATTTGTAATCGTTTGTTTTTTTCTAAAAACTAACTTTTCAAGTTTTAAAAACTAATTTTTCAAGTAAATAGTTCTCTAAAAATTATTTACTTGTAAAATTATGGGGGAGGAGGGGGCGATGCAAATACCCCTACTGGTCTCCCGGTTGTTACGGGCCTGAACCACCAAAAACAAAATTTCCATTTTGTTTTCAAGACCTGGCAGCAATTCGTTGAAGCAAAAAAAATGTCACCTAGCTGTTGAAGATAGCTAAAAAAACCCAGTGTAAATCTTAGACATATGTCTACTACAATGAGTAATGTTGATGCCGTGCTCTTCCAATGTTTTTTTGACAAGATTAAACAAATCACCTGCTTAGTGACCTCTTATTGGAATAAATGGTAAAAAGCTTTCCACTGGTTTTCTATCATACAAGTTTTTAATACATACCAAATACCAAAAGTGAATTGATCTATGTGCAAGATGTCTGTGGTTAAATCAATAATGATAGAAAAATATTTGGGAGCATGAAGTCAGGGCTGACGACACGGGTTTCGAGGTGGAGGGGTACAATCGTCAATTTTAAAAAAAAGTCTTCTATATCTAGAATTTTTTGAATAATAAAAAAAAAAGTCTTTAAAAAAAAAAAAGAAGGGCACGTGCCTCCCCCGGCCCCCTTCCAGTGTCGTTGGGTCTGGATGTTCAATAACTGCAGAAGAGAAAATTAAAAAAAAAATTCTTTTCTGCAGTTATTGAACTTCAAGCTCCCAAATAAAATATTTATGTCATATTAAACTTTTTAAATGCTTTTTTTGAGCAATTTTAAAAAGCATTAAATACAAATATAAAAGCAAACAATTATTTTTAAAAGCAAATTGCCAAGTAGCTGGCTGAGCTCTTTACAGCAGTTAGTAGGTAGGACCTTTACCGTGTTTTACGCAAGTGTTTATATATTTATCTAGAAACGGGTTGCATTCAACATGTAACTCTATAGGTGAGTTTCTACTTATCCATTAATCTACTGAAGCAATATAGGGAAAGAAAAAATAATCACGTGAGTATGCATAGTCTTTGTTTGGACAAGTTAAAACTTATACTACGCATGTCCACATGATTATTTTTCCCTTTCCTTTCTTTTTCCGGTAAAAAAACGGATAAGCGGAAACTTGCCTTAAAGAGCCAAGTAAATTTCCGTTATGATATTATGTTCTGTCCCACAAAACGCTTATTCGACGTGTGATGAGTGTGATGTGTGGTGTGTGACGTGTGATGTGTGACTTGTGATGAGTCGGAAACAAAAAAAAACTAGTTAGATTTATGTTTATAGTGTGCAGAATAATTAAACTACTTATTACCATTCTAATTGTCATAAAAGAGAATTGTTGTTAAAGCCGTTAAGGGGTGTCCAAAAATTACGTAACGCAAAAGACAAAGGATTAAAAGTTTTCCCTCGCAATTTTCCGTTTTTAATTAAACCAACTAAATCAACAAGTTTTAAGTTCAGCAAAAACCACCGCGCAAAAGAGTAAAATGATCTCCTACTAATACTTTTAAAATTAGTTTTGCGCAAAAAAAGGGATCATCCATAAATTACGCAACGCAATTGCGTTGCGTAATTTATGGATGATCCCTTACTTCAATTAAAAAATGACAACATTAAACTTCAATTTCCGCGTTTTTTTAAACTGAATACTTTTTACGTAAATGATGACGTATTGATGATGTTTGCGTTAATGATGACGTAAAATGTAATAAGTTGTTTAACTTGTAGAAGGGTAAAAGAATTAAAGCATCTAAACAATAATTATTGAGATTCTCAATGGTACAGTTTTATTATATTAATAAATATAATAAAACTGTAATTTATATATATATATATATATATATATATATATATATATATATATATATATATATATATATATATATATGTATATATATATATATATATATATATATATATATATATATATATATATATATATATATATATATATATATATATATATATATATATATATATATATATATTACAGAAAACCCCCGGTTATTACACAGTAAACTCCAACTTCCGCGGAGAATAAGAATTAACTTTAAATTCCCGAATTTTTAAATAATCGAAAAATTCATTCTTATAATTTTTGAGTAAATAACCATTTACCAAAATGAAAAAGTGGATTGTTCAGGAATTTAAATTTTTAAAAAACAAAACAATGTTTTACGTTATTAAAAAAGTAAAATAATGTTTTACTTTTCAAGAATTTTTTCAAGGAGAAAGATGAAAAATCTTTCTCCTTAAAAAAATTCCTAAAAAGTAAAACAATATTTTACTTTTTTAAGAACTGACTTCTTAAGCATTTATCATATTATTTAAATATTAATTCAATATTTAATCACAGAAAGACTGTAAACTTTTATGATAATAAAGCTGAAAGTCTTTTTCAAACAATTCACATTTGAATTACCAATTGGAAGAAGAGAATAAACACTACACTTTGACGTATTCACTTTTCTACATTTTTACATAAGGACATAAAGTCTAATAATTAATCTCTTTATTTAAAGATAATATATAAACAATTTTATTTATTTGTATTCCAATTGTATTTCAATTTAATAATAAAATCATTATTTTTATATTTATGAAATCATTCATCAAATTGTAAAAACTTGGTGAATTGTAAAATTGATTGTTTTTGAGTAAATGAAATCCCTATTTCTTTATGTTACCAACAAAACATGAGACAATAAAAATGCAATAAAAAACAATTTCTTCCCATAAACTATTGTTTTTCGTTTAAACTTATTAAAAAAAAAAACTCTTACTGCAAATGAAATACGCCACAATAATAATGTATAGAACAGACATTTCTTATTTTTTCTTCTAACGTTCTGCTATAATATAAAAACAAAGTTTCAAGTTAAGTTCGTTTCATTACAGCTAATTACTAATAATTAGTTAGCTACGTATTTTTGTAATTAGTCAGCTACGTATTTACGTAAAATTGTAATACGTCGGATATCGAAAATTGGCTCACATAATTTTATGAAAAGTTATTTTAATGTCGAGGTTGTATAATTTAAATTTTGTCGTTTAATGTTTTTAAACGCAACGTAAATTATTAAAAAAAACCATTCATTGCTTTTCAATTAAAACCCAAGATTTTTATCAAAACTTCAAAACAAAATAAATTTATTTATTTTTCCCACTTTCTTTTCATTATTTTTACATTTTTTGTTTGTATTAAAATCAATAAGGCTTTATCTATATTTTACAAGTAAATTATTTTACATTTATATCATTGTAAATTATTATACTAGTAAATTCAAAATCCCATTTTCAATAAAAATTAAAATACAAAGGTATTTAATAGAAGATAATGATCTACCTAACATCATTCCGCTCGAACCTTATTTTAAAAATAGTATATATTTTTGTATGATGAATGTTTATACCATTATATTTTAATATATATGTGTTAATATATATTAAAATATAATGATATAAACATTCATCATTGATTTTTATTCATTAAAAATTTTAAAAATTCAACACAAGTTTATATTAAATAACAGCTTCAGCAAAATGTTTTTAAATACTTTTAAAAGTATTCAAGAATATTTGAATTAAGGGAATGAAGGCTTTTAATTTCTTATTGAAAACAGGAAAAGTAATCGGTACATCAAAATTAGGTAGTCTTATTTCAGAAAAATGGCGCTCAAAGCCGGCGTGAGTCGGTGTCTGTTGGGGGTTGGAGGCGCCGTAAAGTTAACTGACGACTTAAAAATACAAAGACTATCGTTTTGTGACAAAAATAAATTTAGTTGTAGACTAAATAGTTTTCATGTGTTTTTTTTTTGTTTTTTTCCAAAGTTGATAATTTATGTAATTTTATGTCAGCTTTATCTAAAATATTTTTGATGTCTTTCAAATTTTTTTGGTCGGAAGACAATGCTGACCTTAAATAATTCTTTACTATTTTATAAATTACAAAAAGATTGTTTGATGCTGTACTTGCAAGAACTGTATATATCAGGGGTTGGCAACCCGCTACTCTTTTATCTAGTCTGTGTGGCGTGTCAGCCCGTCCAAATTATATGATTTTTAATTTTATTGAAGCAAAACTTAAAAAGAATAAAAATATTTGCTTTAGATCATAAGTTAAAAGAATTTTCAAATGTTCAAAAAGAATATCAAATTATAAATGAAAAATGGACTAGTCTTCCATGCGGTTGTAACCAAATTAAGCTGACGGCATTGGGACTCTTGACAGTTTTCGGGTCTATATATTATTGTAAGAAGATATTTTGCAACATAAATATCATATCAGAAGTAACTTGAGATCTTATCTTAATGATGTTGAAAATTTGTTGATTTTTTTTTTTTTTTTTTTTTTTGTACTTCTTGATAGCAACTTGATTTTAAAAACGTAAACACGCCTAAAATTATTGACTGACTAAAAACACCGAAATTAAATTAAGGAAAGATCCCAAGAAATATATTAAAATTTCGTTAAAACTATAACAAAATTTAATTTTTAAAACATAAATTAATGTTTTTTAACTTGAAAATCTCTGCCTTTTACCCAATTGAAAATTAAAAAGAAGCAAATTATTTAATCAAAAAGTAAAAAGAAGCAACTTTTTGGGAAATAATATCTCAAAAACTTACCAGTCATTTTAACATAAAATTTAATACATTATAAACATAAAGCAAAAATTTATTTGAGAGAAAATAAATGAGAATAAAATACTATTTTAGAAACGGTACATAAAAAACTAATCTCTAACAAATTAGGCAAACAGATAAAACAAGATTAAACAAGTTAAAACAAGATTAACAAGATTAAAATTACAAAAACTTTCGTTCAAATGAACTTTATCAATATGAAGAACACAATGTCAAAATTTCAGCTCTTTTGCATAAATTTTTATAAAGTAATCGTTTCGCAAACTTTTTACAGGTGTTTTGTTTATATATTGGTTGCTATGGCGTTGTTACAGGAAGATAGTATTCATTTGGTAAACATAATAAATTATTGAAACTTAATGTTAAAATTTTAAAGTAAAAGTTTTTTTAATCTGTGAAAAAAAAAAATGAGCCTAATTTATAAATTTTTTTTTCAAAATTATCTTTTTTTTTTGGAGTATCACATTAATCAAATTTTTAGGTATAATTTACTTTAATATTAAAACCAACAATTAGACAAATATTTTGACGAAATTAATACTGAAATTTCGGATGAAAATAATACTTTTTATGAGAAGATATTATTGGAAAATGCAATTTTATATGTGGTGTTTGTATTTGAATTGATTTAACATGTTTGACAAAGTTAAGTTTTAATGCATAAATTGATGATATTATACTTAATGCTTCCTCCACAAAACAAAATTTTTTTTGAGGTTTTCTTATAACAGTCTGTTTCTTTCATTGTTTTGTTCATTTCCAGTGGTTGAAAACCTTTTTACATTTGATGTTGATGAAAAATGAGAATCCAGATAACCATTCAACAATTCTTTGATTTGTGATCGGGTAGTGATGTTTTTCATCAGGTTAGATAAACCCAAAATATTAGATTCGTTGGAAACTTGTTTGGAAGTAAAATATCCAGTGATGAATTTTTGAAGCATTCTCTTGGAAATCTCTTGGGAATGCAAAAAACCAATGAAACTTTGGTTGCAGTGGAATAGTACTTATTTTGTTCCATGCTAAGGAAATAAGTTCCTTTTGAAATTTTCATTGCTTTTTTACTTGCCTTCAACTTTAAAAGATGCTATCAAAAGAAAGGCAGATGAAATTAAAAACAGGGGATAAACTTGCATAATATTTTCCTTTAAAAATGCGCAAACTATATTGCTTGCATTCTTAAAAAGGTAAACAGAGAAAAAAAAATTAAAGCAGAACATAAAAAAAATTTTAATAAAAAAATGATCACTATATTGTTATCTTACTCGTAGTCTAGCATGTCAAGGTTCTTGCGTTTCGCAGAAAAGCAAATTAGGAAAGCAGTAAATTTATTAAAATAGTTTTATTAATATAAAATACTGAAAACTTGGATTAATGATAAAATAGGAAAAAAAGAATCTTTCCCAGGATTCTCACAAAGCATTTTTTTGAAATTTTGAAAAGGATTCAAATGATTTAAAGAAGTAAAAACATCATTTTTTTGTAATGGCTGATAAAATGCCTAACGTTTTAAATCAAGATTAGTTGTCAGTTTATTTTTGATTTGTAGACTTTTAAGACAAAGCCTTTCCTCAACGACTTTTTAGCTTAACGACTAAACTGATATATATATATATATATATGTATATGTATATATATATATATATATATATATATATATATATATATATATATATATATATATATATATATATATATATATATATATATATATATATATATATATATATATATATATATATATATATATATATATATATATATATATATATACATATATATATATGTATATGTATATATTTTTGTTTCTATATGTTCGTCATTATTAATATAAATTTGTACAACATTTTACCGTGAAATATATGACTGGAGCAAGTAGAAGACAATAGTCTTATCATCTCGCCCCATTTTTGTCGTTGACAAAATATGACAAAATATAAACCAAGTACAAATATAATAAAATATTTACAATACATATGATTTTTTTTTTTTTTATAATGAACATCACTAAATAACAAAGCAAGTAATATAATACAATTTCAAGAAAAAGTGCAGATTTAAATTGAAAAAGGAAAAATTTTAAAATGTTGAAAAAATTTCAAAAATAAGAGATTGTTTCATTAATGTTGAGGTCTAGTAGCTGTTGTTTTACAACGCATTTAAAATGTTGAAATAAGTTTATCGTTTTTATTTTGTTTGTTAGAAATGAGTTCCACAATTGGGGTCCTCTGCTGGATATTGAGATTTTAAAATGTTTTAAAGAGGTTTTCGGAATATAGTAGTTCTTGATAGAGTATTTTGCTTGATATTTGTGATTAATAAGGCAAAAATAGTTATGGAAAATTTCAGGGACCAGATCATTTTTGAGTTTAAACATGAACTGAAGAATGCAATATATATTTTGTTCGTAGTTAATAAGAACTCTCAGTTCCTTTATCAAATGTTTAGAATTAGCATTTCTATTATTTCTATAATATATGGCACTCTATTAGACAAAGTTAGACTAAATTGAGCGTTCTCAGTTAAATTTCTCGGGGTATTATTAGATGAACATATTAGCTGGAAAGACCACATTAATATATTAGAAAACAAAATTTCTAAAAACATTGGAACTATGCATAAAACCAGATATATTTTAAATAATGAATGCATTAAATGTTTTTATTGGTAGGTTTATTATTTTTTATATATTAAATCTAGTTTTTATTAGTAGGTACCAGGCCCAGGCAATATTGCAATAGTTAATATAGCTATGTATATATGCAAAATAAAAACTTTTAAGACATACATTATTTAAAATATATCTGGTTTTATGCATAATTCCAATGTTTTTAGATATTTTGTTTTTTAATATACTAATGTGGTCTTTCCAGCTAATATGTTCATCTAATAATACTCCACGAAATTTAACTGAGAACGCTCAATTTAGTCTAACTTTGTCTAATAGAATATCTGGAAGTTTTAATGGTAGTTAGTCAAAATTGTATGATTTTGTGAAAAAGATATAATTACTTTTCTCAATGTTGACAGAAAGTTTGTTTGCTTTAAACCAATCTCTCAACTCTTCAAGTTCCTGATTTACTGTATTAAAAAGTGTAGTAATGTTAGAGTGGGTATAGAAAGCTTGAGTTTTATCTGCGAAAAGAATGAAGTTCAATACATTGGAAAATAAAAATATGTCATTTATATAGATTAGGAAAAGCAGAGGTCCTAGAATAGACCCCTAGGGAACACCTTATGTGACGATTTCAAGGGGAGTGTATGTTTTATTGTAAAATAAGGCTTGTTTACGGTTTTTTAGATAGCAACTGAACAATTTTCAATTTTTATTTTTTATACCATAATTATAAAGTTTGTATAGAAGGATTTCGTGGTCCACTGTATTGAAAGCTTTTGAAAGGTCAATAAATACTCCAAGGGTGTGTTTGTTTTTGTCAAAGCCACTTAAAATTTCGTTAACTAATTTTATTACAGCAACAATTACGACCTGCTCTATAAATTGATTGCAAAAAAAAACAATAAAAATGCTTTGTTCTCGTATCTCTCTGAAAACATGTACCAAATTTTGATGGTTACGGTTATGTAAATTAAAAAACACTTTAATTTAAAGTGAGTAAAACCTTGAATAAAAGAGAGAGAATAAAGCTATTTTCTTTTTATAGGTGTTACCTAATTATTGTATTTTTTAATGTAATTTAAGAAAACCTAAGGCTTATACAGTTTAATTTAAAAAATTGTTGTTTATTTTGTTTGTTTTGTGGAAAGTGTTTGTGTTTTTTTTTTTTTTTTTTATAATATATTTCGCTGTTTATATAAAAAAAAAATAATAAAATTACAATGAAACTTTTACGTTACACAAAGAATATATATAAAACAGACAGGGGCTCAAAGAAGATAAGGATGACTGGTGTAACCACAATCTTTTCATAGAGCCCCTTTACAATATCATTTAAAGCCCACATGGCTTTAGAAAATTTGCAATAGAATATTTTATCTGTTAAATACTACGTGAAGAACAAAGAAAAAAACTCATATATACATATATACTCATATATACATATACCCATAAAAACAAACACATATACAAACATAATTACATATATGTCAGAAATAAGGGAGATGCAGTTTTATTTGTCGTTTAAAAGAAAAAGTGCCTTTCAAATTTTTATATTTTTATTTTTTAATTGATTCCATAATGACGGGCTTTGGCTAATAAATGAGAATTTTGATACTTGCGATTTTACTCTGCTCAAGTGATAGTTATGGTTGTTATTTGACCGAAGATTGTATTTTTGTGAAAATGCTAATGTAAAAATATCACAAAACACTTTTGGCAGCAAGTTATTCTTATATTTATACATAAATATTATTATTAAAAATTATAAAGATTCTTTTTTTTAAATAATTTGCAAACTGACTGAACTAAATATTTAAAATTGGTTGTCTGACTCAACAAAAACACAACTTTGTCTACTTACTAAACTAAAATTCATTGACAGAGGGCTGTCACTCACTACTTTTTTGTGGAATAAATGAAAAATAATTTCGTTTTGTTAATACTTAAAGCTAATTGTTATCATTATTTTAGAGGAATAAGTTGGTATCATCTGCAAACATAAAACTTAATAGATTTTTAACCTTATAGAAGCAATTTTCATAAATTAGGAAAAAATTGGCGTTAAAACAGAACTGTTTTTATTATAAATAAAAATGTTTAGAACTTTTTTTAAGAGTTTAAACCATTAATATCAGTTTCCAACTTTAATATTTGCTTTTTTAATTTCTCAATTTAAAAGAAATTAAACTTTTTTTTTTCAAAAAATTAATTGTTTAACATGGTTTTTTAGATCTTGATCACCATTCAAATTCAAAATATTATCTTCATCTGCTGATTTTTGGTTTTCCGTGAAAATTGCGAAAAAGAGTAAAGTGATTCAGAAGCAATGTTTTAACAATAATTACTTTTGTTCAGCGTGTATATACACGCTGATTTATTCTTCATAATACAAAGAATGATATTTTCTTTATTCTTTTTATTTTTAAAGATGAAAATGTTTGTAGAAAATATTTACTTTTTTGACTATTAATATATATTTTTATAAAATATATAAAAATCATAAAAATCAAAATTTTTTTAAACTTTAAATTATATATCTTATTTGTAGCTGCATCGAAAACGCATTAGTTTGGATTTAAAAAAAAGTTTGATGTTGAGTAAACATTAGACTCAAACTCGAGCTGACAAAAATTTGTGTTAAAATTTCTATTTTGAGATTATTCTAATTACTTCGTAACTGTTGTCTGAAAATGAAGACAGATAGCGTTTCTACCAATAATGATAATGCTTACGTAATTAAAAAGAAAAGTTCAAAGATAATTGAAACCGTGAGTTGTGGAAAAGCTTTTAAAAATGATTATTAAGTATAGTCAAAGTGTTTCAATTATAAAACAAAATGATAAATATTACCAAGCTATTGAAAATGCTTGTTGCATTGTGAAGAAAAAACTTAAAGAGACCTAAGGGAAGTAGAAAAACAAGTTATAACAGAAAATAAAAAAAGATAAAAAAGCGATACAACGAACTTTGGAAAAAGCAAGGTTATTCTTCTGCAAGATTCATGAAATACCATGGAGATTGGCTTCAAACGGAATACGAGCTTCCAATAGAGCTTAAAAAACGAAAAGAGGAAGACCAACTATGTCGTTTTCGGAGATGTCTGGCAGATCCAAACGCCGAGTTATTGCTAATCTTGTATCTAATAACAAACCCGAAACTGAAATGTACTTAAGAGCTGCTGCAACCATCGCAGTACAACATGGTAAAAAAGACTTATCTCATATATTCAAACAAATTATTCAAAATCAAAATTGGGCAGCTGTATTGATTAAGATCAACTCTGAAGTTGTGAAAATGCCAATGTTCAAGATTACAACAAAGAATTCAAAAGTAGGGGAGATGGGGGCGCATTGAACGCCGTTGCAGTATTTTGAAAACTGCAAACAACCCGATCTAGGTATAAAAACTTATTATGTATATACATATCATTACAACCTAATACACACCAGTGTATAAAGTTTTCATTAGAAGAATGATCACAATTCTATATATGAAAATAAACCCGTTATATACTACTAACATATATATGTGTTAAGTTTTACAAAACTTGAAGCTATAAAGTCTATAAGAATACAGTATTTTAAGTTTGAAAAGAAAATACAAGATTCATACAAGACTTATATTAGAACTAAAGTTTACAAGATTATTTTTTTATATTATCATCCTTTGTCAAAGTCAAGTCGTGATGCTGCTTTTATATTACATTGTTTTTTGTTCCTAAGCAAGTAGTTTTTAGCTTCTCCCCTTTCTGTATCTTTTGCGATGAATTTCTTTTGTTGGTTGATTTACTTTAGGGTTTTCTTTTCTTCTGACAAACGAACTTCATTTCTGATTGTAGTATCAGTCAAAATCCTTGTTTTTAATTGCCTATTTTTAACACTTCTTTTTCTAGCAGATGCTTTCGGGTAAGGTTTCAAAACTTCAGGTGAGAGTAATGAAGCAATGCTTGGAGACACTTTGTTCGAAAAACTTGTTTCATGATGTACTACAGGCATTTCAGGCTCCATGCCATCAACATGTGCTACAGTCATTTCAGATTCAACAAGAATTGTGTTTTCTACATTTGGAGCAGCGATCTGTAACTGGTGATGGTAAATATTCATCATATTTAAAAATTTCTGGATTAAATAGCTCAATGCCAACTACTTGAAATCTGTAAATTAGATGATGAGAAAGCTTTTATATATGGTTCGCGAACTATTGAAACAATATCATAAATGGTCAAAGGTCTTAAATTTGTGACCACCCAATTATCACACGCAGCATTGTTAAACCTTTTCAATGGTCCAAAAACAGTTCTATTAAATGGTTGCAATTTATGGGTACAATGGGGAGAAAAATTTAGCATTGTAATTCCATGTTGAATTGCAAGATCCAAAGTTCTAACAGAAATATGACTTTTATGGCTGTCTAGAAGAAACAAAACTGGAGATTCATGAGAACAGTTTGAATACCTCCCAAAATATTTTATCCATTCTATAAAAATGTCTGAATTCATCCAACCAGAAGGATTTGCAAATCCCACGCATTTAGGAGGACCTTCCTTTATCATGTAATCATGAAATTTGACCCTAGAAAAAACATATAGTGGAGGAATAGAATTTCCAATTGCATTTAAAGCACAACATACAGTTACTAATGTTCCTCGTTCTGCAGATGTGATTCTTCCTACTTGTTTACTTCCTTTACCTGCTAACACTTCTACTGGCTTTTGTACTGTTGTTAAACCAGTTTCATCAACATTATATATGCAATAAGGATCAAACTTATACCAATTTCTTACTGTTTTTAGATTTTGGAAAAATTCTCCTTTAGTGTGTCGGTTAAAGGCAGTTGATCGTTGAATATTATGTAAACTAATTGTAAAACTTATGTAAAACTAAAAACTAATGTTATTAATATTAGTTTTTAACACTATTACATTTTAAAAATGAAATTTTAAAAGTTTATATAAAGGTTTTTTATTCGTCATAAGTTTAAATGTATAAAATTTAAACAAAAAATTTAAGTCTTATAATATAATTTATGTGGGGCACTTTGATCCTCCGATTAATGAGCCCCGCATAGTCAACGATCAATGTACCCCAT